GGAAATCCCTAGTGAACTGCTGGTTTTCATCATCGTTGGGTTCGCCCCGTCAGCTGTTCATCACATACTGATGTGTAATAAAAAAATCTGTTTTATACAAGGATAGGTCTCGGTTGTTTTAGTAACTACCTTGTTAATTAGCACAACCATTTCTGGTTCGAAGATTTCACATCTCACAAAGTCCTCTCGTTTATAGTTTTTTTTTTCGGTGTTCAGTAGCAAAATGCAGTGATAGTTCAGTTTTGCGTCACATCCGCAGTACTATTTTGTTAATTATTTTATTGTTACTCGAACTTCCATTGTAAGTTTTTCATTTGGTTTATGTCATTTCGGCTACAGGTTTTTTGTTTGAAATTCGTGTTTCACTTTCGTGCCTGTAGTTACCTTCATACGTGCTGGCAGATACCGTTCGATTGCCGACTTGGGGGTTGCCCATTTTTATTAATCGTAATTATTTTCTACGGAATGCAATATATCGTATCGCATTAGATAGCCGTAAGATAATCTCTCCGATGTTTTACTCTGCATCATCGTGTACCTCAAACGAATGACCTTTTGTTTTTGTCGGTTGAGTATTATTTTTTAGCTGTTGAATTGATAACGATTAGTTTGATGCGAATAGTTTTGCAGACTTGCGTTATATTTCTCGACTAGTATATGACCAATTGGCTTTTTTGGAAAGTTCTTTCCAATCCGCAGTTTTTTTCGTGTTTCCGAAGTAGTGCGAAATTGTATCCTTCAACGGTTACACGTATTGCCCAACTCAGTAAGTAGTTTCTGACCCCTTTTACGCCGTACTCATCGTGAAAGTCAGCGACCAGAGCGAGATCATTCATTCAATTCATTGTGTGGAGGAGGATGTGAAAGTGTCAACTGTTGGAGGAATTTACTTTGTGGGATTACGGTCTGTGGCGTACGAACCACACCGACCCACACACTTTCCTGGTCGTGGTAGTGGTCACCGGCTCGATTGGGCATCTAGGTGTTTTGGGCACCTTGGACGTTTGACCCCGTCCAAAGGCTGTATGATCCGGTAAACTGGTCAGCGTCATCGTCATTGTGCAATGAAATTCAGTAAGGCGAGCTTCGTTGATCACTACCCAATTCAATATACAGAAAGTAAGTACGATTGCGTAAGGGAGATGGGGGATGAACCTATTTTGAAGTGAAAGGTAAATAAAGTGGACCTAAAGTCAGTTGTGTCCACACATCTGTCGGAACATTTTGACTTAATCAGAATGACAGCAAGAACATCATTGCTGTCGGTTCGCTGCCATGTCCTTCAGGGTCTCCAACCAGCCAGTTGCAGTCTTATGAACCCAAACCTGGGGTGTGGGAGATACCCATTTTTTATGGTTCTGAGGTGAATATTACGCATCAGAAGACTCGGATAATGGAGAGGATCTAGTTTAAGAAAGACACAGATTGAACATGGATTGAGATATCTGAGCAGCGGCCCACGTGTCACTAACTATCCGATTGGATGAAGTGGGGGGGGGGCATCACTGTTTTGATTATCTTGCGTTAGAGCTTGATTGTCGGGTACTGGTAGGGGGTTTAACCACTAAGCAGAGAATCATTCGGATTGTCAACCCAAGCCTTTGGTTCCAACAAGAACCCAACTGCAAGCGAACGGGTAAAGCGCAACAAAGGATTAGGAAAGGAAACTGGAATCGGTTTTAACTGTATCTTTTGACCTTTTAGGCGTGATAAAATCTTGTAGCTTGATAAAGCCCTCCTGCGTAGCGCCGTCGCGACATCCGGCTTTCCTTGAAGGGTTTAGTGTATGCTGCAGCAGTTTGGCCAGTTCTACTGTGAAGCAGAAATCTGGCCATTAAGAAAACAGGATAAAGATAAACTGTCGGTGTTTGAACACCGCTGTGTACGCAGCATTGCACGAATCTGGAGAGGCAACCGGACGAGCAATACTGAGGTCAGGTGAAAAGTTTTAGGCAACCGCGGTTGCCCATTGGAGCAAGTGGTCGGACTCCATAGATTACGCTGGTTGGGGCATGTGTTATGCTTGTCACCAAATTGGTTGCCACGGCGAGCAATAGTTGCCGAGGCAGGTAGTGAGTGGAAAAAGGTGGTGGTCAAGCTACAACCTGACATGAGGGTATGGAAACCCTAATCAGGAGTCTCGGTCACCTAGGTTCCGTTAGGCTCTCGGGATGGTCGTAACCGAGGTTTAGAGACACTGAGTGATATGCCTGAGCGTCGTTAGACAATGGCGTTCGTGCATCCTTTCAATTTCTGTGCAACATTAGTCCACTGGACGTTTTTCTCTTCCATCTTACATGCAACCTTCCTGTTTTCCTCCTATTGTTCACCGAAATGAGCAGCCAAAAGACAGCAACCAAAAGCGTCACACGGAAATGAATGCCTAAAGGTTGTTTAAACTGAACTGAACTGCGTAGCTCGTTGGGTTAGCGAGGTGGGTAAGCCATCTTACCGTCTCAAGGTGCAGTTTCTTGATGGATCCATCGATCTGATTATGTGATGTGTAAGCTCGTCACCGGTCGTTCTCGCGTGCGTCTGATCAGATGTCCTATCCTAACAGCTTAAAGCGACTTAAAGCGACAAATCTCTACTTTGTGACACGCGAGCAATATACGGTCAACTTATCTTCTCAATTATTTTTGAATCCTCTGGTCACCGAATGCTTTTGTGTTTGACCTATAATATCTACATTCCCTGGCCTACTTTTGTGATGAGGATTTCTTTTGTAGCAAACTTCAGTGAACCGCGAAAAATGTTGGGTTTTAAAATTATTCCGTCTGTTTCCGCTACTGTGCCTGTTAGGTAAGACAGAGATGATCAGTGGTAGTATGATTTGGACGATCACATTTGAATCGCTTTTCTCGATTTACACCACCATGGTGCACTCTGAGACGTTTTAACTGTATTCCGACCGAATTGGAAATTTCGATACCAAGAGAAGAAAAGTGACTGTTCGAGACAATAAACTAGGGACCAAGAAGGCTCACCGTGACCCGGATTCTCAACTACTCTAGCATTTTTGAGAAGTATGAAACACGGAGGTACTGCACACTATGTGATTATACTCATGCTTTTAGAGTTTTTCACTGGATAATTTGTAATCAATACCCAGTTTTCAATTCTTGTGCTTCCATACGTACCACAAGATGGTTATCGATATTGAACAGAAAATTATCGATGTATATTAGTGAGTTTGCTATTGGATTAAAATTTAAACTTTGCGCGCAAATTTCGACCGAGAGACTCACTTCTTTCACCCCACGTGCGCCGGCATGAACTCAGGCTCTCTGTCAAATCAGCAAAATCAAACGTGATTGTAACTCGGGAGCTAGTTTAGATCTCCTCCCGCACACATACACTCAGAACTTTTTAAACAAAAAGAAATGTGAAGAATAATTTCATTCGGGTCTGAAATGATCGATCATTTTGGAGCAGTTGGTCATCGTACACTATGAGGCGGTAGGAGGAGTGTTTCAAGCGGATCAATGCATTTTGAATCAATGATATGTTCTACTTTGATA